CATTATTATTATTACTACTACTATAATCTCATGACAAATTGTGCTTGTGAGCGTGGCTATGCTGTGTGAACCCGTGGAGGTGTTCATGTGGGGGTCCCATTTTCCATTGGAGTCAGTTTAGTACCATCCTCTCGGCCGTCTTGGCCAGACAGCTGAGGAGAGAGATGGGGCGGTACTTCCCTGGCTCCTTTGGTTTTTGGGATGGGGACTATGGTAGCCCTCTTCCAGCTCTGGGGTAGAGAGGAAGTTTCCCAGGACTTGTTGATGAGTTGCAGGAATGCAAGCTCACCTGTCAGTCCTAGATGGGAAATGATGGAGGACGAGATCCCATCAGAGCCCGGGGCTGAGCGAGAACTGTTTTTGTGGGTTTTATTTCGTTCCCTCAGAGAAAAGATAACATCTGAGTTATCGGGTTCGGCTGCCCTTTCTCTGATCTGAGCAAGTCTGCCTGGTTGTAGGCGTTCTTGGTTTTCCCTAAATTCAGCTGGTAGACGGTTGCTGCTTGTTCTCGCAGAGAACTCGTGCACCAGCCTGCTTGCCTCTGACTGAGGGTCGTGGTGTGAGCACCTCGGAGCTGAGCGGCTGGCAGTTCGACTGACCCGTTGCCACAGCTCTGTAAGGGTGGTTTGGTGGTCGAAGGACTCACACCATTCCAGCCACTTTTCCTGCCTGACTCTTGGCAGTTTCCTTGGCATCCCTGACAGCCTCCCTTAGGAGGATAAGGTTGTCAGGGGTTCTTTGCCTTCGGAATAGTTTTCTGCATATGTTCACTCGGTGGTTGACCTCCTTAAGCTCGTCATTGAAGTACCGGGCATCTTTGTAACTCCTGGACCAAGGCTAAGAAACGAAGGGTAGATACGACTATGCGCCCCCCTCGGTGTTAGCCCCCAGATGATGATGATGATGATGATTACAACGACGTCTCGAGTACATTTTAAAAATACATTTTGAAATTCTGCTAGATAAGAGCTTTTTGATTATGCGTATAATTTATAAAATCGCCAAAGAGGTATAATGTAATTGCCTTTATATATTTATCGTTCGTTTTTTTATCTGTTTGTGATCAGGATTACGCATGATGTAGGGAAGCATCAGGGAGGAATACCTATGACCCAAGGACTTGTATATATTTTGTCGCCGGGCCTCCCTCCTCCCCGTGAGGCAGAGGATTTGCGTAGAGCGGGAATTAATCGAAGTGTTCGCGTGCTGAAGGGGAATCTGAGGTCAATATCAAAATTAGCTCCTCTCTGGGGACCCACTCGGCTCTCGTTTTTACTTCAACATAAAACCATAAAGATGTGTTAACACATATCAGAAATATGAATGTTTTATCATCCTCGTCATGATAATGTCCATAAAGCGACCATGAAAGAGAATGGTAATGTAGGTGATCCACATTTTTCTACTATAGTACTACCATCAGTTATTAATCATAATAACAGTTACGATGAAAAGAAATAGTTTCTTGTCTTTATCAACATGATACTGGGTATTAATAACAGTAGCGATGAAGAGAAAGAGTTTCTTGTCTTTATCAACATGAAATTGGACATTTTTGTGAAAGGAAAATAATCTGGAATTATTTCTTAGTCGCCTGGGCCTCGCAACTACTTCAAGCTTCCACAAGAGGCTTGCATCACCATATTCTTATCTTCCTCTACTCTTTATGTTTTCTTACAAAGCTTGTTTTTATTTGCGTAAAAAAACATCCATTGAAGATCAGCTGTAAAAGAATATTGATTGTAGTCTTGTAATTAATTTTGTGTTCGTTTTTTACCCTTTTAATAAACATAAATAAAATTAGTGATTGTTAATTTGCTTCCATACTAAAATAGTCGTGTGTTTCGATTCATTTTACAAAATAGGTTTATGGTGAATGGAAACCGTCAGATGAAGTCGTCCGCAACGCATGCGAACGTGGCATTCCAGAGAACGTAAACAAAGCTGCGGCTCGACGGCGGCGGCGCTCAGTCCGAAAGCTGACGTGGGGCGGCATGCGGCTCCTGACGTAGGGGACTCACGGTGGGGATTCACGTCTGTGATAACGACCTACAGTTGTGTTTTGTTAGTACGGCAGCGGTGTAAGTATCAGTGGCTACTGAATAAAGTGAATATCATTGCCATAAGAATAAGGGAACCTATTCGGTCTGAGTCAATATGAATCTCCATTTCAAGAAATATATGAGAACTGTAAGGTGCTGAACAGTAGAAATGCTTTTTCGGAATCTTTCATCATGATTGGTATGAACTTACATTTAGTTTGCGTCGTTCTGCATGATTAAAATTGTACTGCCAAGATTATAATGTCAGTATCACAAACTGAGACAGAATTAGCCAAACACCCTTTTTACCCAAACTAATCGCAACCACATTTGCATATGCATGTGAGAATGCAAAGAATAGGAGCTTTGAATCAGTAGAAGCACTAGAACTACTTGCTTGTCCGTGTTGTGATACTCAGCTAGTTGTGTGGCTCAGCTCAGAGTCGATTCATTATTCACTTTTGCCTTAGTTTTTCATTGTTATGGGTTTCTAAGTTAAGTAAGGGCAAGTGTCAAAGATAAATAAGAAGTATAAATAGCGTATTTACTGGTGTTATATACTATCTAAATAAACATATTTTAAAATATATATATGTAGACACATGTATATGCATATATATACATATATATTTGTATATATATACATATATGCATATATATATATATAT